GGCCTGCAAGCGGGCTCGCGCGCGGGGCCGCACCCTCATGGCATTGATGCTGACATGGCGTCCGACCCCCACGAGCATGACTCATCGAGCGACTTTTTTGGTGACGACTGGGCCGCCGAGGCGCTGACTCAGCTGGCGGGCACCTCGGGCCAGGCGGCGGCCGCGCGGCAGCTGCTTGTGCAGCAGCTGCTGCCCGGCGCGGGCGCGGCCTACGGGGCAGTTGGTGCGGCGGCGGGCGCGTGCGCAGAGCACACGCAGCACCTGCCTCGGTCGGTCGGCCTGCCGACCGCGATCGAGCACTCCGCCTGGCTGCTGCCCGCCAGCGCCGCGGCGCAGCCGCCGCCGCGTCCGGCCGGCGCCGCCGCCGCCGCCGCGCGCCAGCAGCAGCCGTCGCAGGCGCAGTCCCCGCCGGCGGCTGCGCAGCCGCTGGCGCGCGGCGGGGACGTGGAGGGCGCGGTCGCGCGCGTCCTGCGGGAGGTGCTGCCTCAGATGCTGTCGGGCTTGGCCCAGCAAGTGGCCCGCGCAGTAACCTCGGACGGCGGCGCCGTCTCTGGCGCCGGCGAGCGGCAGCAGCAGCAGCAGCAGCAGCAGTCGCTCGGCGCGGCGGTGGAGGGGCTCGTTTCGGAGCTGCGGCAGAGCCTGCAGCGGGTGGTGGCGGCGGCCGCGGCGCCCGCCGCGGCCGCGTCCCCGCCCGATGCGCCGCCGCCGCCGCCGCAGGCGCAGGCGCCAGCGCAGGTGCCGCCGCCGCCGTTGGTGATGGTGGGGATACCCATGCTGCTGCCCGCCCTAGAAGCGGACGCAGCGGCAGAGGCCGCGCCTGGGCCGGACGAGGAGGGCAGCGAGGAGGGGGGCGGGGACCAAGATGGGAAGCGGGGCGGAAGCGGCGGGGGCGGCGGCGCGGCTGGGGCGCCTGGGGAGGGGCTGGGAGAGAAGCGCGAGCAGGAGGAGGCAGGGGCTGAGGCGCATCAGGGGGCCTTGCCGTCTGAAGGCGCAGGCGCGTAGGCAGATAGCGGAGGAGAGAGAGCGCTGCGCCATTGCTTAGACCCCTATGATTCGGGGGTCGAACTCCACCTCCCCTTGCGTGTGCGCGGGCAGCACCGACGGCTGCACGGCCGTTGCGTCCGCGCGTCGCACTGCCGCCCCCCACGCGGCGCCAACAAAACCCTTGGCGTGCCTCGCGCCCCACGCTCCGGCGGGCCCAGGCCAGCCGCGCCCTCTTCGCAATAATGAGGCTTTTCCACCGCCGTTGCGCGGACCAGCACCTGCATTGCCGCCACGGCCCTCCCGTCCCCGCACTGTCCCATGCCTTATCCGCTCTCGTGCACTCGCACACCTCACGACGCCGCGGTGGGCCCCATCACCGGCAAGACTGCGGCCCAGGATTCGGCCGGTCGGATCCCCCGCCCCAACCCACAGGATTTTCTCACGTCATGCCCCTCGATTCATTGAGACATACAAGCCCGCGCCCACCAATGACGGCCGCGCGCTCAGCACCACGATCGACGCCGCCGCAACGCCCACCGGCGCCGCCGCGCGGCGGGCCGGGGCGCTTGCGGCGCGGCCGCGCACGCTCGCCCCCTTGGCCCGATTGCACACGCCTTACTTGTCCATCACAGGGCCGATTTTCCCACCAGGCGCGCTCCCCCTCACCGCCCACACAAGCACTTGAGCACCTGCCCATAACAGACACATTGCTAGGGAACCCAGCCACGCCATCTCTCAACGCTGATGACTGATCACACTCTCTTGCCTCATCGCGTTGCTTTCAAATTTGGAAGCAGCAGGCGGAAGCCAGGCTTCTGGTGCACAGGGGCCCGGGCCCGCCTTGCGCGACCTCTACGCAACCCATTCATACAGGCCGACTTGGTTCATTGGCCGCGGCGGGGGCAGGCGGCACGCCCCTCGCGCGCGAGAACGAGAACGGCTCCCCTACTCAGGGGCCGGGTAAACGCATGAGAGGGGTTGGCTGTCAGTTTGAAGGGGCTGGGGCAGGGGGTACAGGCAGCCTCACACTGCGGTGGTTGCTCTGGGATCTGTGTCAGAGTGGGCCCGACCCACACATGCTACGCATGGGCCGGCACCAGCGGTGCAGGGGTTTGACCATTTCTCCACAAGGTTTGACCGCGTAGAAAACGGCGCCTTGCGTGCGATTGTCAACGCTAATTGGAAAAAACGGGATTCTTGACAGTCTCTGGATGGAGTCCCGGACAGGGATGGCCGCGCCAGCCCGCTTGCATGTGTTGGGTGATCATGGTAGTGCTGTGGTGGGCTGCCAACCGAGCCCTTGAAGTGCGAAAGACTCTCCAGGATCACTATTGCCTTCGAGCTTGCTGCGTGCTTGAGTTTCTTCCGGCATGTATCTGGGTGCAACGAAGCCCCTTCGGCCAAGACGCAAAGTAAGTTACGAGCTTGGTGTGCGGCGGTGACGCCAGAGCGCCACTGGCCCCGCTGCTGTTGACGGGATGCCTTCTTCGCCCTCTACATGCCGCGGTATCTTCAATTGAGCATCAGCGTCTCCTGTCACAGTGCTCCTACACAGGTCTCTGTTTGTTCGCGCTGAACGTGCGGACACCTCTGCTTCCCATAGATCTACTGCTGACGAGGGCGCAAATAATCATGACTTCCAGCAAGAAATCCGATTGGAGCATCGCGTCGCTGCCGTACGACTTCGGCAGGTGATGAGAGTCTGCTTGAGAGTCTGCTTGAAAGCGCTGCGGCCAGTCAGCAGCTGCGTCATATGAAACAGCCTCGTTGCGTTGAATTCGGTTCGCCTATTTGGTGAGAGAGCACGTCGCATGCTACGTGGGGCGCCGCGCCCTCCGGCGACGCCGAGCTTGTGTGGACGGCGCCACCCCAGCCAACCCACACCATCCAACCTACATGCGGGCACGCCCGACCTCACACCACTAGTTTCGCATGGAAGCGGCTGTACCACGCGCTCTCGCGCTCCAACAAGGTGAGGGGATCCGCCAGCGGCACGGGCGGCGGTGCGGCAGCAAGGACGGGCGCGAGGCGGGCGGGGTCAACCCAGGTCAGCGCCCCGTCACCCGACCCCGCCCCATCAGCGTCACCCAGCGGACCGCTCCGTCGCACGCGCCGTCACCAACACCAGGCGCAGCCGAAGGATGCTCCAGTGCACCCCACTTCAACGCGCCGCCAAACAGCAGGCGCTCGCCACGGCGCTGCCGCTTGCTGCCTCGCACTCCCCTCGCACCCCTTGAAATTTTGTGCTACAAACATCACCTTGGGAACTGGTATCAGACCTTCTCCCGCACGCCTCGCCGCACCATCGCTGGTCGATGATTCGCGGCCGGATTCGCGGCCACCCGCCCCCACCCCAGGCGTATGGTGAGGTGTTCCTGGAGGGCAACTTTGCCCCTGTGGCGGAGGAGCGCTTCAACAAGGACCTGGAGGTGTGTGCACACACACGCGTGTGTATGTGTGTGTGTGTGTGTGCCCGCACTTATGCATGCGTTTGTGCATGGCTTTGATGTGATCCGGTTCGGTGCCGCAACATTCACCGCGAGTTCTGGTCGCAGTCATGCCCCCCTGCCAGGGGCCATGCAGCGGGCCAGCGCCGCCCTCTAATCCGTGCAAGCATACGCGCATCCCCGGCCAACCCCCATGTCTGCAGCCCCACCCCACCCCCCCTTCCCTCCTTCCCGGCGGGCACCCCTGCTGTCCCACGCCGGCGCCCTGCTCACGCCTGCCCCCGCCCCCAGCCAGAGCCTCTTTTCCCTTTCAAAGCGTGCACCACCCCCCCTGAAACCCGTCCACCCCGGGCCAGGTCCTCGAGGGGGCCGTGCCCGCTGAGCTGGAGGGCGCGTTCCTGCGCGTCGGCCCCAACCCCGCGCTACCCCCAGTGGGCGGCTACCACTGGTGAGCCCCGCCGCTTGTTTTCCCACGCCGGCCCCCGGATTCACTCTTGAATGCATGCATCCTTTGATGACTCCCAGAAAGCCTGCAAATTATAGGCGCGTGACTGAACAGGATGTATGTGTGCGTGGCTGCAAGCTCACGAAGGAAACCGATGCTGCAACGCCCGCCAGGTTTGATGGGGACGGCATGATCCACGCCTGCCGCATCAAGGGCGGCCGCGTGTCGTACTGCAACCGCTGGGTGGACACGGCGCGGCTCAGGGGGGAGCGGGAGGCCGGGTACGCAC